ATTAAGTAACGTTGCAGATGAATCAATACAGTCTGCTAGATATTAAATTATAACCTTGTGAGGGTGGCAGTTTTTTAAGTTGCTGTGGTAATCTGTAACAAACACCTATCAGCCAGCTTCTGGCATATTCAGGCACACTTGCTCAATAAAAAATTCTATTTACACTGAACCAATTTTTTTCATTTATATAGGGAGTTTTTTCTGTATTTCAGTTTAAAGAGAAGTATTTGTGTCATTCCATGTGTGGCTTTTGAGGCTTGGCACACCCCCAGCAACAAAGACATACTTACCTCAGAGAAAAATGTAAACAGGCCTTTCTTCCCATTTGGAACATTTGGCACAAGCTGCTGTGTGAGCATCAGCAAAGGATCTCTCTCAGGGAAGGACCTCGCCCAGGTTTCATATGAACACCTTGTTGGCTGGGCCTGGATGTTTCAAAGGCAAAGAAGTTATACTGATGCTTTCCTGTTTCAGGAAAAAAACCCTATGCTCTGTAGAGTACATTAATTGGATTCAGCATGCCTACATTCTGCCTCTATTTATATACCCATCAGCCTAGATAAAAGCCTTGGCTGTGGCAGTTCAGACACTTTTTTTTCCTATATTAGTCTACTAATCTAGTCATCTTGTATGCGTTTTCAGGAACTGGACTTGCAATGATCCTAGTTGTGTGTGACTTGTTATTTTCAGCCCTGGACAAAAAGCAGAACAGCTCTTGCAGGCTGAAACAAACAGTTCAGTTATGGCATTTTTAAGGTCAGATAGCTCAAGACCCACAAGGGATAGAACTGAATGCTTTTTACTGTCTGAAAGCTTGGGATTACAGCTTTCATATGTCAAAAAGCATTAATCTCTGACTCTAGTGGTGTGTGCACTACCTGTTGCTAGAAGAGAGGCTTTTTCAGATGTGTTTTTAACTACTGAATTAGGTGGGTTTCAGAAATAGAAATGTTTTCAAATTCTGATATTGGATCACTGAAATAATGGAAGGTAGTTCTATGAATAAAAATCTTCCAAACTCAACCATCTTATCAAATTAGAGGACTGGGCAATCACCAACTATATGAAGTTCAACAAGATAAAGTGTCGATTCTGCACCTGGTATGGGGCAACCCTAAAAGTACGTACAGGTGGGGAATGAGACACTGGAAAGGAATGCTAGGAAAGGGACCTGGGGGTCCTTCTTGATGGAAAGTTGAATATGAGTCAGCAGTGCCCTGGCAGCCAGGAGGGCCAACTGTGTCCTAGGGAGAATAAGGCAAAACATCATTTGAGGAAGGTGATTGTCTCTGATCTTCACTGGGGCAGCCTTACCTTGAATATTTTGTGCAGTTTTTGGGTGCCACAATATAAGAAATATATTAAGGTTTTAGAGAGTGTCCAAAGGAGGGCAATGAAGATGGTGAAGGGTTTTGAGGGGAAGCCACATGAGGAGTGACTGAGGGCACTTGGTGTGTTCAGCCTGGAGGAGACTGAGGGGAGACCTCATTGCAGTCTTCAGCTTCCTTGTGTGGGGAAGAGGAGAGGCAGGCACTGATCTCTTCTCTGTGGTGACCAGAACCTGAGCGAAGTTGCGTCAGGGAAGGTCTAGGTTGGATATTAGAAAAATACTTTTCACCTAGAGGGTGGTTGGGCCGGGTAGTGAAACAGCATCCCCAGAGAAGTAGTCACAGCACCAAGACTGACAGAATTCAAGAAGCATTTGTACAATACCCTCAGGTACGTGGTGTGACTCTTGGGGAGGGTTTTGTGCAGGGCTAAGGGTTGAACTCGATGATCCTTGTGGGTTCCTTCCAACTTGGCATATTCTATGATTTTTCTTTACTAGCTCAGTCTAGTAAAATTTCACTGTGCCTGCACCCAATCTTATGACACACAAGCAAGACAGTCTCCAATTAATTGAAATTTAACACCAATTAAAGTCTTCTAGACTGTTTCAAACATTAGTCATTGCTCCCAGAAAGTTTAATGGAGAGTTCCGCAATTTTTTTTTTCTGATGATTCCCATTGGCCACTTCATTGGCCAAAATTTGGAGCAGGCATCCCTTATATTAGAATAGAAAACTTCACTTCTGTTGGGTTGCAATTATTGTATCCTAATCACCTACAGCCTGTAAAAACAGACTGTCCCTTTTGTAATCTGAGGGGTCAGTGTATCACTAGTTATGCTTTGAAGCACTTATTTGTCTGAAGGACCATGTACTAAATATTCAGCAAATCCAGATTCATCTTCATAGGGGGAAAACGTTAAAAGAGACATACTGGACTGTGTGATTTTGCTTCATCTGCAGTTCATCTCTCCATTATAGAGCAGTTTCAGAGCTGTCTCAGGCAGAAGGAGGTAAGTGAGTTTAAAGCCAGATTTGGAGGTGGCAGCAGTGGTATGTGGTTTGGCAGGTTGAAAGAAGCATAGGACTTGGCAAGATTAGTGCCTGTTCCATCTGTTGGTGAGGTAGGTGATGCCCCTTGTCAAAGATGCTTGCAGGGAGCAGAACAGTAAGTGTGCTTGCTCTACAGAACGTGAAAAAACCCAAGCAACTCTAACTAATGAAGTGCTTAGATTTTTTTCAGAGTGGGATTTTTTGTCATTTCATCAGCAAGCCAAATGGTGCACTCACTGGTGGGCTTGTTCTGGAGTCAAGTACTTCTGGAACTGCATGCAGTGCCATAGACCAACTGCTTGGCAAAACCAAGCTAGAATTAGGCTCAGCTCCATTTTTGTATCTATAGTGTCATGGTTTAGGAATGGTATTCCCCAATTAAGTATTCCCACTGAAACACTCCAAACTGTGCACAGCTTGCTCACTCTATCTCCTCCTGTCCCTGCGAGTGGCTGGAGTGAAGAAGTGGAAGCACAAAAGATCATGGGTTGAAATACAATTTCCTGGAAACAGCAATGAAATGAACAGTAACAGCAACACTATTAATAACAGAGTGTGCAAGAGAGATGAGCAGTTCACAAGCGAGTGCTCCCCAGGTCAACACAACACTAACCCTGGCCCCTCACTTGCTGCCACCCAACTGGAATGGACCCTTTCTTCCTGCCCCCTGCTTATAGCACGAGGTAGTATAGGATAACCTCTGGGTCCTGGTCATGCCCCTTCTGGTACTGCAAAAATCAACCCTATCATGGCCAGAACCAGGACATAGAGCCTGCTGCCTGTAATTTCAGTTTTTAAATTAATGACTTGGCACTACTCTCCGTCATGGTTTTGGATTTCAGAAAGTGGAAAGAACCTCAGCTGTGGCACTTCTACTGTTAACCCCAAACAGTCCAAGAGAGAGCAAAAGGAGATACTCCCAGTGAAGGATACCTCAGCAGTACAAACTTCTTCCTGCTAGCAGTCTACTGAATCCCGCAGATCACTTGCACATGGGGATTTTCAGAACATGCTGCAATTCTTCTTTGTTCCAGGTGAAGCTTGTGACAGATATCAAGTGTGATCTTTTATTATTTGTTCTTTGAAGCACTTAGATGTCACATGGGTAGCTATCACATGCAAAAAACATATCATATGATATCCCACCTACTGTCTGAACACCTTGCAACTCTTTAGACCATGAGCCTCACCACACTGCCTGGCAGGATTGGAAGTGCTCCTTTAAACACTGTTGATAGAGAAGTACTAGTGAAACTATTTTTTTTTTTTTTAAATTTTAAATGGCCTCTAATTGTATATGATCTCTTTTGATGTGTCAGTCTCATAACTTGCCTTGCTGATGAAAATGCCGGAGAAATGTAATATAAGTCTAGGGGGGGTCAGTGTCTTGTCCAAAGCTTAGTGAATACATGAAAAAACAAAGCAAAATCCCAACCCAACCTAACTTACTCCAAATCAGTGAGAAAGTCATCCAGGCAGTGGCCTGAGTTCAGGCCACAGGAGGAAATATAAGAATAAAAAAATTCAGGAGTTTTTACTGAAATATGAAGGAATTGAAAGAAACAATATTTAGCAGAGCCAACACAGGAGCTGCTGCCATAGAAGTCAGGGATATTTGTGGGGTTTAATGATGAATAGAATTGGATAATAAAGCCTTGTGGAAAATTGAAATAACCTTCACGTTCTCTGAAAACACAACAGGAATAGATGAAATGAAAACAGTGGCCAACTTAGACTTGTGTTTACACTTTTATTTAAGTAATAAGAGCTATTATTATATCTGAAGTCTGTTTCTTCAGGTGATGAAGCATAGTAATATAATGAAAATGGAGCATCCTCCTTGTTAAAGTAAATGAGCCCAGGAGGTGGGCTTGTTTAGATCAAGCTTAGATGTGTCTGTTATGTTTAGTATAGAAATATCCTTTTACACCCTCCATTTGGAAAAGCTCACTTAGTGGGGAGCTATGCACAAAACTTAGTCACTATAAGGTAGACGGTAGCAACAAATGAGATGCAAAGTCTAGTGGACTTAAAAGAAGATGTATTCCATGCACTAACACCTTTTGTCTTGCCAAGTACGATTGCTGGGTCAGGTTTAAGAATGACTGTCATTTGGAGAGGTGAAAAGAGTGGGCAGTACAAATGATTGAAGGGTGTCAGTGGACAGCAAGTTGAGAAAGGTTCTGGCATTAGCATATGAATTGAGTTAAGGTGAAAGGCAGCCTTACAGCTTTTGCTAGAGAAATAGAATTTTGGTTGCTTTGGTGAGGAAATTTCATCTGTGATCAAAGTACGTAGATGAGTACGCTCACTGGGTTCAGGAAAGGGGTCTGGCATCAGTCAGCAGATGGTGAGCAATTATATTTGTATGGGGTTTCTACTTGTATTTGTATGGGGTTTTTCCTTTCCATTTTTATTATCATTTTATTATTACCACTATTGTTGTATTTTACTTTGCTTTTATTCCAAAAAATAATGCAGTTATTAAGAGCCTCAAAGATAGACAAGACACAGAGGAGCTAAAGTCAAACTTTTATTCAAATAAAAGGGAGACTTCATTGGACAATCCCCAATTAGGTCTCTCACTTCAGAGGTTGCAGCCTCTATAATCCTCTTTGCCCGAAATGCAAGTCTCTCCCTGTTTCTTCAAAGTTGAGATACTCTGGGGTTACAGACGTCCCGAGATGCCTACTGAATTTGCCCCATTACATGCCCATTAGGGGCTTTGAGGGTCCCCAATATTTTCAAAGTGGAGGTTACTGCATATTTACCCTTTGCTGCCTATCTTATACTGGATAACTACACAACTAATAACTTTTCTATCCCCTTCTAACTAAGCTAACTGTGACTACTACACACTTTGTGAGAACATTCTACTTATTCCTAATATTATAAACCTATAACTAAACTTATTACTATTAAACTTAACTAAAGTTTTACTTTGGAGTCTCATCCCCATTCCACCAGGGTAGCGGGGAAGGGAAGGGGGCAGAGCAGGTGGCTCTGTGGTGAATACATGCAGTAGATGCACCCCTAAACTGACTATACAGAGTAGCCTAAAGCAGCAGAGTGGGAAAGCTGACCACTGCCTACTGCAGGACCAGGTAGTTGCCTGGGCTGCCTTGCTGCACTACAAAATACATCTCTGTGCAGGTTTGCCTCTCAGAGGGGCTGATCACGAGGAACCTGCAGGTCCAGGAGGAGTGCATCACCCATAGATGGCGGCGGGGCCACTGAGGCAAACGCCACCAAGCTGTTTTCAGCAAATTCTGTGCCCAGCGGGCGGTTTTCTCCACATTTAAGTAGGACCCTATGCAGAGGGTGCGTAGGAGAGGTGACCTCTGATCCAGTGGTAGCCGTTTGTCAGCGGGATGGAGAAAACACAAGTTGTATTCCATCCTGTGCTCACTTGAGCACGTGCACTCCAGCTTCACATGTATATCAGAGCACCTCTCTGGCTGCGTGGCGTCTCGCTCCACGATGAAGGAGTGCCCACAGGGTGGCCGCAGGACCACAACCAGCTGGTAAAAGATTCGATACTGGGGGTTAACACTCCAGGATTCAAGAGAGCCGTCCACCCCAATGCCTGGGTACATCTCTGGCATGGAAGTCCTCTGGGAAAACTCTCGGCTGATAAACAGGAGATCATGGACGAGATGCTTCAGATTCCTGCACAGGTCGGGCACTTCCTGTGTTGGTGACAGGGTGGGCCTGAGCATAAATCTGTGTGCTTCACTGAGGTCTGCTTCCTCCTCGTCCTTGTCTTCCTCCTGCTTCTCACTGCTAGAGCTATCCTGCTCACGGCAGCTGTGAGAGGCAACCTTCATTTGCCAGGCCAGCCAGCAGAGCACAGCGAGCTCAGCTACTGCAACTGCCCAAAAGAGCCAGTGCTGCAACAGGAAAAGGAGGGAGTCTTCTTCCAAGGTCCTGATCCGCTCAACATCCTCCCACAGCCGTGTCATCTGATGATGCAGAAATTCCTCACGCTCCTTCATCCGCTGGGCTGTGACCACATCAATCTGGTGATCGTGTGTCTGCTCAGGGAGAAGAGCCAGCACAGCCAGGAAGAGGACAATTGATGAATCCATGGCCTGTGAGAGGTGGGAGAAAAGTTTACTCAGCAGGTAGGGGTGAGAAGGAGCATGACACTGGGTAAGTGGGGCAGGAGCTGCCTGATGGTGTCCTTTGTGACCTGTCCTCACAGGTCACAGCCACCAGAGCCACATCACTTGGCCAACAAGACCCCAGCCTTCATCCCCAAGCCCCAGGCTCAGCCGCTTCTTTGCAACATCACCCCAAAGACAAAGCCACCGGGTCAAAGCTCCCCGGGGCTCTCCTCACAAAGTGGGCAGCCAAAGGAACACTGATGGTGTGGGTGGGCTGTGGGTGGGCTGTGTCCTGTGAAAGGCCTAGAGACACCTGAGCAGTCTCCAGAAGCCCCATCCCTGACAAGCTGCAGCATCCTATCCCATGGAGTCAGGGGCACCCAGCACATCCCTAAATCCTCTGGGCACTGCCACTATTTTGAGCCCTGAGCCTCTCTGTCCCCAGCCCCAGTGACAGAACTTTGTCCTGATCTGAGGGGTTTGGCTCTAGCTCAGTGTTGGAAAGCCCCCTGGGCATCTGTTCCATCCCCCAGCCTTTCCAGCCTTTCCCCTGCATGCACACTCACCAATCGCCCAAGTGCAACTGCAGTGGGGCTGCCCAGTGTTGTCCTTAGATGGCTCCCATTGTGACCCATCCTCTGTGATGTCACAGCCACCAGAACCACATCACCTGGACAACAAGCCACAGCCTTCATCTCCACCTCCTTGCTCAGTGGGTTCTGGGCATCATCACCACACTCAGTGTCAACTCCTCCTCAGGAGCTCCTGGGGGGTCTCTTGGCAAAACAGACAAACTGCCAAAGCCACCACAGAGAGCCCTGAGGTCCTCTGACTCAGCCCCAGTGGCAGAACTGTCCCTGTTCCAGAGGGGCTTAGATTTCTTGCTTTGGCTTTGAAACCCCCTGAACATTTGCCCCATCCTCCATTCAGCCCAGCCCAATTGTGCAACTGAGCAAGGAGCTCAAAACATCAGATACGAAAGATTTCAATGACTGGCAGAATGAGAAGGGGACTGTGGGTTGGAAGGGAGCTGTGGGACTGTGCTGAACTTCCGTTAGGTTGAGCCTGGACTTATGGAAGCTAAAATTCAGTGTGTGCATCTGCAATATTGAATAAACTTCAAAAATCAGTAGATACACTGACTTGCCTGTTCTCATTATTCCTAAAGCCAAGTTTCCTTGAAGAAGGAAAGACTAAGAGAGAAGACAATGTATTAGTGATACTGTGAGATGTGGAGATGTGATGTCCAGTTCCACCCTGAGCTCAAAGGCTGAAATTCACCTGACACCTCAAGAGGTCACTTGCAGATCCTGAAAGTCCTGATGGGATGGAGCAGACCCACAGAAGGTCTCCTTTGGGTCTGATTTGCTTTGAATTGCTCTAGCCAGGTGTACAATAGAGCTTATAGACAAATGCCATGGGTTTTCAGTGGTCCACAGAGGTGGGGTTAGTAGTAAATTCTATTTTTCCTGATTGTTTTTAGTTAGAAAGAACAAGCTCACACAGAAAGGAGATCACGATGAACTGATGAGCCTGGAGATAACAATATTCACAGTACCTACAGACGTAGCAGCTTATGGAGAGAGGATGTGACCTGAGTACAGTTTGTGGTTGAACAACTGAAAGGTCCTCTGCAGATACAAAAGCTTTGCAAATAGAATACAAATCCCTTCAATCTGACAGAGCTGGGATACTTCCATTTTAGCACCCACGACAGAGTATGTAAAGCAGCAAGCAGGTCAGGCAGTGCTGCTGCTGCTCTCCAAGTGGACTGGATGCCTCTCCACTGTGGATGGTTTTACTCTGTCTTGTGTGCTGTGAGCAAGGCACAGGAGAATGAAACCTCCTACTGATCTACACAGTCTGTCTGTGAATCCAGTGCTGCAGCTTAGTAGGAACAATCTGCAGAGTGGAACAGTCTGTGCAGAGGAGACAGTGTCTGCATGATGCATGTTTGGAGAGGTTATACTTACAACTAGTTCTGCTCTAGTATTGCTGCACCCAAATTAGTCCATAAACAGATCATCACAACAAATGATCGCATTGACTCCTCTCAGAGGAACAGTGGCACTGATACTATGGGCATGCTCTCCCATTGAAAAAATGAAGTAAAATCTGCCAGTGCCTTCTCTGTGGACTTCAAAAAAACCCACATGAAACAGTTGTGGGAAAAGAATTAAAGTGTGCCACCAGGAAATCTCAACATCTCAATCCTGCAGTTGCTGAGCTTGAACAGATTTAGTAAATTAGTGACTGGGGGCTGTGTTTGATTTGCCTGATTTGTGTCAAAACCTAACTTGATAATACAGAGAAGTTTTTCTTATTGCTCAGCAGTGTATGCACAGCACCAAGGCCCTCTCTACTTCTTGTACTGCCATGCTGGTGAGGGGGCTGAGGGAATGTCCTGGTTTCAGCTGGGATACAATTAATTTCCTCTCAGTAGCTGGTGCAGTGATGCGCATTCAGAACGAGAATACAGTTGACAGCATTTTTTTGTGCCTCATACTCTGGCAGTGAGAAGGTACAGAAAAGAAACTGGGAAGAGCATAGCCAGGACAGTTGATCCAAACTGGCCAGAGGGATATTCCACACCACAGAACATCATGCCCAGTATATAAACTGGAGGAGTTACCTGGAAGGGGGGCCCATCTGAGTTCAGGAAAGGGGATCTGGCATCAGTCAGCAGGTGGTGAGCAGTTGAATTGTGCATCACTTATTTTTTTTTTCCTTTCCATTTTTATTATAATTATTCTTATTTACCATTGTTTTGTTTTCAATTGTTAAACTTCATACATTATTATCAAACTTACCTATTATTAAACTTGTCTGCAGCACTGACTGCACAGACCAAGCACCTTGAAATCAAACCACCAACTCAAATTTATTGAGAAAAACAAGTTCTCACACACTCAATTCAGTGACACGTCACGGCATGTGACTTTCCCAACCAATCATGTCCAAGCATGTCTAGTGAGCATGCTCAGCAGGGTTCCCGGGAACTACAATCACCATAATTCTTTCCAGCATTCCTCCCGCAGTAAATTTAACCCATACACTTGTCAATTAAACTTATTATTAAACCTATTATTAAACTTATTATTATTATTTTTAAAATCAAATCCTATGTATGAAATATCAATATTGAAATACCATTCATTCCAATGTGAAGTAAACAGATTGTGCATTTTCTGAGAACAGAGATGCTAGCCACAGCAATGTTGATCAGTGTTGATTATCAAAACACTAACTATTAAATGACAGCACTCTGAAGATAAATAACTAGAAGGAGCTCGGTTTCCTTTCCCTTTTTCATTCCCTTTGGTCATTAATCATCTGTTTCAGTAAAATTAACAAGCCCTTTCACAACACATGCATGACTTAAATTCTTCAGAATGAAAGTCATAGAAGTCAGGTGTTAAATACAAAATCACAGATAAAATCCTGTCCTTTTTCTACAGATTCATTGAAATGAAAAAAATATCCTATTTCGTGCCACAGAATACTGCTTACCATATTTAACTGTATGTTAATGTTAATTTATGGATATATCCTTATTCTTCCTGTCAAACCTTAAGCACTAAAGAAAACAAACAAAAAAACATAGTCACTGATTCAGAAAAAAATAAATGGAGAAAATAAATAAAAAGAAGTATGATAATATCTTGCAAACTAATTACCATAGCGGGAGATGTAGGAAGGCTCATCTTCACTGATGTAGCCAAACTCCTAGAAGCATAACGTAGCTTTTATCCCTTACAAAAGGGACATATGAGGCTTGAGGTTTCCTGACAAGCAGGTCCATCTGCCCATTTCATGCAGTGGTAAAGCAGGTCTCCTGCGCTGTGCGATTACTCTCCTTTGGGGTGGTAAGTCAATATTACTTTCTGTGTACATTCAGAAGGTTTCTCCTCACCCCCTCCTCTGCCCTCCAGATTTTAAGAAAAATATGCTTTGTATTTCTGCTTTCCTTATGGAAGCCTCTAATCAGAGAGGGATGGAGATATGCAGCTTCCCCTCTCTTTCCTTAAGGTCCAGAGCCATCAAACAGGTTATTACAGTGCTACTTCCTACAGGTAATCTTGATAGTTTAACCCCGAAGCTGGTAAGTTTGCAGGGGTTAGTTCTGCTAGCAGGGATAGCAAAGAACTGACATTTTCCCAGGTCATTTTCATGTTCCTAAATATGACTCAGTGCAGTCAGCTTTGACCTGCCACGTATCAATACACACTTAAATATGCATCCCTATTTTTAACCCAGTGGCACCCACTTCAGTAATATGTTCATTAGTATGTTCTCTTCCTCATTTGCAGACCTATAGCTGATGGAGAAAACTTGAAACATTTCAAGACAGAAAGGGAATTTATCTATTTATATTTCATGTTGTTCCCTTTCCATCATCATTATAGTCCATAAAAAACTACTCCTAACCTCTGCCACCCACTCTCCTCTCCAATTCCTCAACTCAAGCAGCAGTTTCAGTTTTCTGCTTGTTTTTGTGGTTGCCCTATCTTACAGGGAAAACTGCAACCACTGCTCAAATCTCATGAGCAGCTGGGGAAGCAAATCTTTATTTCTGTATTAATTCAAGTCAAGCACTGTTCAGTCAAACTGAACAGGCTGTGTTTCGTGGGATTGTAGGAATCCATAAATCTATTAAAGACTTTCTGAAAGCTTTTATATTTCCAGTGAAACTTCAAAGGCTTTAGAAAATAAAGAATAAAGATGACATGGTATAAAAAAACCTACAGGGAAGCAAGGTTTTCAGCTTTCCTGAAAGCAGGCAAACCAGTTTGTGCAAGGGTATGTAAAAGGAGAGAGTCTCTGCTCCTTTATGGGTATCTGGTATTCCAATACCAAAAAGGTGTTAACAAGTGAAGGGGAAGGCACAAACAAGAACACAGAGACATAAACCCAACAGATGAACTAACAGAGGCAAAGGCAAGAAACAGACCTCAGCAGTCACACTAATGAATGGGTTATTAAGAAGCCACAGGCAAACTGGAAAGTTACAACTGATGAGGATGCAAACCTGA